GGTCCCCTCACCAGACACTGAACTATCAGTGATCCTGGATTTCACAGCCTCCAAAACTATGAGAAATAAATTGCTATTGTTTATGAGGCACTCAGCTCATGGTATTTTGTTATAGAAGCCAAAATGGACTAAGACAAGGGCTTATTAAAACATAGGTTGCTGGGTCCCACCTCAGAATTTCTGATTCAGTAGGCCTAGGATGGGGTCTGAAAATTGATATTTCTAACAAGTTTCCAAGTGATGCATATGCTGATGATGCCAGTTTAGAAATTTTACTTCGAGAACTACTCTTTTAAAGAATCCGTTCATAGGAATCTTGAGTACTTGGTCCCCCTAAAAAGGAAGTAGTTAGGATTTAGCTATGAGCCCTCCAGTCACACTTATGTTTCTCTTGCTCACTCTTTTCTTCCTCCTGCTTATTGAATATTGCCCAGATATGCCAATTCTAACCTGAGAAAATGATCACTACCATACTCAGTAAATTTCAGAAGACTTTATCAAAGAAGAATAAAAGAAATTTCTAAGCCTTGCCTTAGAAAGTCTGATTATCTATTAACCAATTATTATAATTTTAACAGCAACATATAAAATTTAGCTCTACAGATGCCAGCCTCTGTATTTTTACCTCTTATTTTTAATCTCAACATACCTTTCTACAGTCAATATTTGTGCTTCATTCCTACTTTAAGCCTTTGCACCGTAGCTTCCTCTGCCTTAAATGTCACTACATTCCCTACCTATCCATGTTCATAGCTTCTTTCAAAACATAGTTTTCTAAGATTCAATGCTTCCAAAATGCCTTTCTTTAAAAACTTTGACTCACACAAATTATTCACTTGTTTTGCTTTCCAGTGGGTAAACACGGTTCTGAGTTCCGATGTTTCATTTTCTATTATTTTCTAGTATCTTCTGGCCGATTTTTCTTATTTTTTATTCTGCTATCTTCCTCTCTTCTACTTTGGTACTCTTCCACTAAAACCAGGAGATTACAAGGAATCAAAACTAATGACAGCATTTCTTTTCATTGCCTGAGCTCCTCAAATGATGCATGGGGTAGGGAGCAGCCAAGTTATCTCCTGAATGGGAGACCACGGGAAAACAAGAAAGCACTAAACTTGGCTTTCTTGCCTCTAAGTTAAAAAGTCCAATCACACTGCCAGCAAAGACAAATTGCACCTAAATAGCTTGGCTTCAGTGACCCCAGATCCTAAGCCTAATATGCCTATTCTTTCTTTTTACCATGCTTAGGAAGGTAGCACAGCCAGAGGGCGGTGAGTTTTGTTTTGCACTTAATTTTTGCTTTAATGTTCAGAGAATATATTATGCAGCTACTGTAAAATAGCACCTGGCCTGTTTACTAACACGATATTATAAAGGTAAAACAGAATTAAAAAAAAAGAATTGGATGACTGGGCCCCAGGACAAAACTCAACCACAAATTATCACCTTACACACATAATTACCACACTAATTTGAGTGTGTAATAGATGCCAAATGACTTAGGCCAGCCAAGTTAGATTCCCCTCCTGTGCAGATGAACATTCCAGGGCACCTGAACATTGCATTGCTCTGTCTATCAAAAGCTCAGTGAGGAGGCCACGAAGCTGACAACGGCCAACAAACTCAGGAACTCACAAGCTTCCAGGAGAAAAATATATTCAGCATCTTTTTTATGTTCTCCTAGATCACTGGTTTTCACATTTTACTTCTTTCTTCAGTGATTTTTTTCTTTTACTTTGATGTTCAACATGCATATCCAAAAGCTATGGCAGAAGCTGTGCAACCAGTCCCTCCCTGATTTCTATACTGCCCCCCTATCCAGCTAAGCGCTTCTGTGAGGATCTCTAAGCACATCCTGCAAACCTCTATGGACCCACAGAGCAGAGGTGAAAAAACAACGATACCTAATTGATTGATAGCAAGAGCAATCACTGAATATTAACACACTAAAATACAAGCCCAAATTTTTCTTTACTCATTCACTTGAAAGGTAGGTTTATTTATGGGGAAGGAGGCACACTCTTATTATAAATCAGCTTGTGAAGAGATTTCTGTCAATTCTAAACATTTTGACCTGGTTCTTTGAAGGCTGTTCTCTCCAAACTAGGTAGTATGCATGAAAAAAATGTATAAAGAAAATAAATGAAAGTTCTATTAACCTTAAAAATTAAAGTATTCATTAAGCACAAAGTAAGTATTATAGCATAATAAAGAGATTCCGAGCCAGAAAGTTATGAGATGAAATTCTAATTCTGTTATACACTATGTGGTCTTGGCAAGTCTCTCAACTTCTATGAATGTCAGTTTCTCATTTTTTTAAGGTTTTTTTTTTTTTTCCAATGGTGATAACAGTATATTCCAGAGTGACTCTGAGGTTCAGATATTGACTAGTGAACTTCTGTTCTGTGTCTCATGAGTGATTAGCTAGGATTAGAATTGCTTTCTCCTTGACACAACTAGACACAGAGTTAAACATTTCCTATTCATGTAACTGACTGAGATTTTCCCTGGTTGGAAAATCTCAACTGTAAGTTCCCCCACCTGTAATGTGTCGATTCCTTCCTATAAAAGACTAAGGTAAAATCACTCTGTGGAGACACACTCTGATTTCCAGAGCTGGGGTACAAAAAACCCTACTACAATAATCTGAATAAAATCAATTTTCTTACTTTGATGATTTTTGTCTTTGATATCATATACATAGAAGTGCCTGGCACATAACTGGTCCTCAGTAATTGGAAGCTTTTCATAAGGACTTTCTATAAATGGTGCTCTGAGTATAACCTATGGAAGGCACCGAGAGGAGCGGAATGCATCCTTAGCAATGGCATCTGCTGAATCTAGTAATTCCTTATATTTATGATATTAAAATCTTATTTTTGTTAAGTCTTCTCGACTCCCATGATAATACGCTAATTTGGTTCATCAGTAAATAGTATGAATTAACTCACAAATTAATTTAGTGTGAACGTTATAGTCATCTATCCATAAAAGCTATAAGTAGAGTTGAATTTTAATATGTATACCAGTTCTTTAAGATTCCGTTGAGTTGGATGGCTCCATCTCCACAAAGCCTTCTCTAATCTCTGCATTCAGGAATAATCTCTAGACTCTGTGGTCCTGCTTGAATTTCTCTGTACTTTTTCAAATACTATCTTTCACATTATGCTTCACATTAATCTGAGTTGTGTACATTCTGATTAGCTCCCTAGGTTTTATGTTGCTTGAGACTAGGTACTGTGTCTTATTTTCTCTGGCACAATATCTTAGGCAAAGGAGATATTCAATTAGCGTTCACTGAATTGAGTCTATATACTCTTTGATGCCTTGGATCATGCTAACTTGGCAATACATACATGAATACTTCTTCATAAAATGTCAAAGTTTGAGAAGACTAAGTAATCAAGACAGAATATTAGAGAATGAGGTAAAAAAAGAGGGTGGTGGTGAAAAGATACCAACAACACATTGAGAAATCTAACAAGGTAAAATTAGACAGGAAATAAAAACATCGTGACTAACTTTTAGAGAACATATTCCAACTCCACACACACATCTTCAGTACACAAAGGTTTAGGTAAGCCATATTATAGTCAGGGTCTTCAGAAATTTCACCTACACTGACAGATCAGAATCAGGAAGTGATAATAATGGTAAGGTTGTGATACACAATGTTCCTTTCAAAAGCAGGTCACCAGTGGAATGCTAATAAATGTTAACAACATACTCTTGGGGAGAGGGAGCCCTGATTCATACATAGCACCAATTTTTACAGTGTAAACATTCCCACCATGGCTGATATTAAGCTACCAACATGTCACATAATGTTAAGTTTGGGAAGAGATGCACAAGACTGGCTCTCTCATGCCAGTGAGAGCCAGTTCCATCACATTACTGCCAGTTTCTTTTCTCCAACCCTTTCTTCCTTTATTTCCTTCTGATGAAGAGGAACAAAGCTATAACTGGTCTAAGGGAAAGGGTAGCCAAGGAACACGGCTCCACATGAAATTTTGCTCCTTAGTTTCCCCTTTGGGATTGTGTTTTGGAGACAATGCATCACCTCCATCTCACTTTTCAGTGTAACCTGAAAATCCAAAAATCACTTTGGAAATAAAATAAAAACCTACCATCTTCTTTTAGGGCACTGATAAAAATGTCAGGAAGACTTGCTTCATGCTAAATGTTACTACCCCCAATTTGACAAAATGATGTGTTTAGCCTCTCTGAATCTTACAGAAACTATAAAATTATACATAAGACTGAAACCACTGAATTTTCAGGATTTTTATCTCCTCCACTAAGACAAAGCTCTAACTTTCTAGCTTCAAGTTACAGCTCATCAAGTGAGCCAACATTTGCTTATTAGAATCTATTTCCTTGTTTATCATAACATTAAATATGCTGAAATAAAATGAAAAAAATTAGCATGGTACTGAGCACTTACATAAATTAGTAACAGTCAAAGACCCATAGATAGGAATGAATCAGATCTAAAGATGTGCAACAATTAATAAAAATGTAACATGACAGCCCATCCCAGGAACATGTTGAAGGTCATCAAGATCAGATGCATCATCACCCTGACATCTTTCAGCCTAGTCTGGGCTGGTGCAAACAATAAGTCTATGGAGTGCCCTGGATTTATCGCCAAGGATATGCATATGAAATCCAACGTTTTGTAGCACATATTTTGTGGCATTTAATGACACTGGAAAATCCCAAAGAAAACCTTCCTGGAACAACTCAGAGTCACCAAAGTTAAAAATAAACTTTATTTTTTAAGTTTTGGCCAGTAGAGGGCATCCTCCCAGGAAGGTTTGAAAAAGTTATTTTGGTTCCAACTCCATATATTTTAGAATTTTTCAGGAGTTATTCATGTTCTTATTATATGTTTCAAGAACCCTGTATCATTTTAATTACATATATAAGAGTAGGAATTTTTAATCAGAACTAGTTGGATAATCTTTCCATGTCTCCCCTTTGTAAAACTGCCACAACAGAGTGCGGTCTGGCATGATTCTTTGTAACTGGCATTGTCAATAAACAAGAGACAGAAAGAAGATGTGCCTGCACTCTGGAAGAGCAACAGCTGTAGAAAGGACTGATGTGGCTGGCAGAGCTCCTGGTGAAGAGAAATGCCTACACAGCTGGCACCTACAAAGGCCAGTTTATGCATTACCGTCATTACTGCAGCTTCCCTGGGAGCCTCAGAGGGCAAACACATGGTAAGTTCCCAAACATTTAGATTCATTTTCAGTTGTTCCATTTAAAATATAAGCCCCAACAACAGAATGAATTTAATATCAAAACTTAAAGTGTTGGCACTTGATATTAAGAAGTTGTGATGCACGAGGCTTAACTAGATGTTCAAACTGGTAATGGCTCTGGGTAGGTTTGAATTTCATCATTTGTTTTATTATTATTATTTTTTTTAATTTCATCATTTAAACTGGTACAGAAAATTAAGACTTGTTGGATTGTATTTTCTAGGGCGCCCTGAGACTTTAGCTTTAAAAATCATTCTACAATTCAAGAATATTTGAAGGTTTGAAAGAGAATTTAGTGGACAGTTGTCTTTTATGAGGGTGCAGCAGAGGGGTAAGAAAAGGGTGCCCAGATTGTAAACCTTATGTCTCTAAGAGGAATTCACATCTTATTAGTCTTGGTGGCAGAGGCAAAGTTCACTCCTCAGTATAAGAGCCTATAATGGACTGAATGTTTATGCCCTTCAAAATTAATATATTGAAATCCTATAGCCCAATGTGATGGTATTAGGAGCGAGGCCTTTGGGTCCTCATAAATGGGATTAAAGCCCTTATAAGGGTCACAGGAGAGCTTGTTTTCTCTCCCTGTTCTTTAGCACATGAGGGTGCAAGGAGAAGCGGCAATTTGTAACAAAGGAGAGGGTCCTCACCAGAATTCTACTCTGCACTAGAATCTTACCCTGCTTGTACTTTGATCTCAGACTTCCAGCCTCCAGAGCTATGGGGGAGAAAATTATGTTGTTTATAAGCCACCCAGTCTATGGTATTTCTGTTATAACAGCACAAATGGACTAAGACAGAGCCCAACTGTCCAGATTCTTAGTTTCTCAGCCTTCCTTGAAGCTAAGACATGAGCACGTGACTTAGTCTAAGCCAGACATATCTCACCTCTCCTTCCTGCCCCCCACCAAATCTTGAAATATATCCAATCTCCAGGAGCACAGGAGGCCAGCAGTGTGTCCAGAGGTGGAATGTAGGTCTGTTGACCAGTGTTTAGTGGCAGCATCAGCTCTGCTCTTACTAGGTAGTTTCCATGGTATGAATGTAAGATGTGTTTCTAGCTAAGTTTTGTGGCTAGCAAATAAACCTGATTATTAAAAAATAAATTTCAGTAAAAAATTTTATTTCCCAATACTGTTGTTTGTTAGACCTCCCCAAAATTAGACAACTTCTGTTTCCTTATAAATGGGCTTTCATATGCAATCATATTTTTAAAATAAAATGGAAGCCTGGTAGTTGTTTCTATGCTTTCCTGAAGATGATTTCTCCTTAGGTTTACTAGAACTAGCCCAAGGATCTTCTGTTTCATCATTTCTTCTTATTCTCCCCAATACTCATTTGTCTACTTTCCCCCCAAGTAAAACTTACCTGGTTATTCCTATATACTTTCCTTTATCCCTTTTTTCTAGGTATCTCCATTCTTCTGCTGCCCCCAACCTAATCTGAGGCCCCAGTCCAATACCCTCTGTCCTATCACCTGTGTTTAACTGTAGGCTTTTTATAGTGATTCCTCCCAGAGTTGTCCAGACCCTCCCTCTTTACCCATCTCTATTGGGATATTATACACTATGAACTTTCAAGTTGTAGAAGTGATTCTTCTACCATTGCATGAAATAGATGATTCATTAGTATCTGAACATTTTAATGATTCTGTTTGGTGCCTCAAATATTAGGTCCTCTGTCTTTCTAGCTCACTCCCAAATGGGTCCCAAAGCATATTCGCTTGACAATTTTTGTATGAAAAGTAATAGGACTCCTGATATACATGAAGCCTAACAGAATAAGAATAGTACCACTAGACTAAGTGAAAGCTGGTAATTAGCAGTGATATAGAGAAAAAAAACAAAGCAAAGTATAAGCAAAAATTATTCCCGAGTATTTTGAAACTGCTCCTGGATGATGCTGTGGATGCAAGCCTTCAAAATATTTGTCACAGAATAGTCTATCTTTGTGTGGAGAGAGAATGACTCATCAGATAGTAACCTTGGTAAAGTTACCAGTTTTCACCAAAGAATATTGACCTGATCCCTTAATCATAACTTTTTCTAAAGTACACTCTCTATCTTCCAGTTTAGTTAAAAATCTGGTTGAAATAGGTGATATTTGGGGAGGACTGTTTAAATGATTTCTTCTAAATGTTCTAAGTAATATCTTTAGAACAAGCAAAAGATTTCCTTATTGGACCACAATTTTCTCTCTTCTCACAGATTTACTTTTGCTGAGATTTATCCTAAAAACTTCAGCCTTTATGGAGAAGCAGAATAGAAGTAAAATTCATTACCACAGCTTTTTCAGGAGTGTCATGTAGATATTTTCTAGTCCAGACACTGATTGTCTTCTGTATAACACATCATGTGACACATGTCTTTTAGTTATGTACTTGTGTATATAAAGAAGCATCTGCATTCCCTCAGGGTATCTTTTTCTCAATAATAATAATAATAATATAACTGACATACACTGTTTTTAACTCTGTCTACCAAGAAATTCAGATGTAAGAATGAGGCTTAAAGAAAGAGCTATGAAGAAACTTATTGCCTGATTATATTTTTCCTCTGATCTTACTTATCTTTATGATATTTAAGAGTGTATGTGTGGATATGTATGTGTGTATATAAATATATATTTATAAATGTGTATGTTTATGAACATATTATGGTTCTTTTTATTTATAATCCAGCCATTATTTTCTTATTTATTTGTGCCATAAGCTGCAATAAATCCTTTGTGGAAGAAGAATATGAATAAATATATAAACATATGAATAAATATGGCCAAATAGTATGTTAGGATGAACATAAGCCATTATTGCTATTAACATTAATGACTTAATAAACACATACTACTGTGTATGTGAGGTATGTGATGAGTAGGAAGATAAGAGAGCCGAAGGTAAAGCTCCTGACTACAAAAGTCTTGAAATATAATCGAGATAATAGGGCTGGTATATAAGAATATAAAAAATACACTATGTTATAATTTAGTATATATGCACACACACACTCACACACACACATATATACATATATACACATATGTGTATATATGGACAAGCCAAATAGTAATATCCTTACTGCTTAAAGAGAAATTAAAAGACAAAAGGTGCATCTCCACAACCACATCTCCCCAAAACCATCCTCTCTTAATTGATCTCTGTGGTCTCCAGTGAGACCTAGGCAGACTCAAAGCTTCTTCCATCCTCATCTAAATCCAGGATGATTTTGTTTAGAACAATAACATTTCAGATTTCTTAATCTGGGAATCGCTTTGATACCTACCACAAAAGGGAAAGTTGTTTTCTTTTAATGGACTTTTTATTGTATATTTTAAAGCATCTTAAAAAAAATTTATTTATTTTAATGTGATTCAGTGAGAAATAAATCTTACTTCACAACTTAGAATGTACACACACACATCTGAAACATACGTTTCACAAAACACTATTGATCCTTCCTATGTGTGACACATTCTATCTTCTACTCTATTTTGTTCCATTTAATTTCTTAAAACATTCTTATTATGACCCATTAAATTAAATTTAGTATAAACAGCATTGTTTTAAGGAAACAGGAACTTCAAATTTCCAAGGGAGAAATGTTTTAGTTTTCTGAAGGAAAACTATTCTTTTAAAATCAAAGGCAACTGGGCCAACTTCAGATGCATGATACAGCATACTGCTTCTTATCTCATAAGTATTTGCTCAGAAATCCAAAATATGTAGAGTGATGATTCATGCAAGTCTCCCTCAGAGGGAAAACTACAATCTCCAAGTTGTATTCTAGTAGGAACACATCAACCCACACACAGAAATCAAATTCAAAATGCCTTTAGTATCAGTATTTCCAGATTCTAAATATGGGCTTGACTTATAATTTAGCTTCTCTCTAGCCTTGGTTACAATGAACTTAAAAAAGATTTTTATATATGCATACAATTCAGTAATTATGAAAATTGCATCATTACTTACCTTAATCTTAGATTTCTACACAGAAAAATACATTGTTCAGGAAAAAAGGGGGAAAAAAAGTCTTACCTTAACTGATATGGTTAATTACCCAACTTAAACAAAAAATTTAGAAAGTAAAACATTACTATTATTAATAACTCTGCTCAAACAATAATCAAAACTGTGAATGGAAACATTTCCAATTTCCAACATAAGCCTTAATCTTATTCATGCCAGAAACATCTCAGCTGGGTCTTAACATTCCCTAGGAGAATATTAAGTAAGTTACAGGCTTTTTACCATGTCAACTCTAAGATAATACTTAATTCTTACTGTGTATTTGCAGTGCCAGGTCACATTGGACAGAAAACCCTATCTTTAACAGATAGTTCTGTTCTAGCCACAATCATATCGCATTAACTTCCCAGCATACCTATTAATATCCAACCAAATTAGAGCTTGGTGAGCTTCTGGCAGGTTTGTAACTGCGCTTGAAACCTGCAATTTTAACTAATTATAGAAATCCTGGGCAGGAAGTCCTCTGAAAAGATGATCAGCGTCATTCCTTTCTTTTGAAACCTTGAAACCACCCCAAACCAAGAGTTCTACTTCTCTTTTACCTTGAAGAAAAGATATTAGCACGAAGGATCATGAGCTGTGTAACTACACCATAGTAGGTCCATTATATATGTGACCTGACTTAATCCTTATATCTTAATATAGTGGGAATTATGATCTCCATGTTATAGAGGGGAAACTAAGGCTCAGAAGAACTAAGTAAGTTGATCAAGGACATGTTAGAGGTGGGATAAGACCAAGAGTCTGACTGTAAAAAGTAATTATTCTCTGTTATCTCTCCCAGCAGTGGGCTGCAGCTGGCCATACAGGCTCACAAGAGCTAGTGGTACATAGCTCTTTCAAACTCAATAATGTCACATCAGTAGGTTGAAATCGACCATGGTGCGAGTACTTATACTGTGCAAATGGGCAAGCATTACAAATCAGGGCTTTCTTC